GGTATTCAAATACCCCAAGACTGCATGTCCAGGCGTCAATACCCAACCATGCACGGCATACGGAGTGCAGGATGGACACAATACGCCAGAAAGCGTCTGATGACCGACGTCAATGACAGAGGTGGAACTTTGCAAACTAAATAAAGGGTCAACACCCATATTTAGAAGGGAGAGTGAGCTCAGAATTGTTCCTTGGCCTTCTCTCCAGTGCATTTAACACTGGGCTGCTGTGATGCTAGGGGGGGGGGGGGGCTCAACTATGTGGACGGTAATGCCCCCTTTAAGTTAAAACCTGCACCCATGGCATATAGAGTCAAGCATAATCATGCGTGATGGGACATCACCGGATTTCTGATAAAATACTTTGCAGGGCCGTCGATTTGTGTACATGACTGGAGAGGGGAAGTCATGGATCCTGGAATAGGGCTTTCCCCAAATTTTTCTTCCTTAACGGATGTGGCTTACTTTATGTTGATGGATGGAGAGTGCCTCTTATTTCTATTAAGCTCTTATTTTTGCATCGGTTTTAAAATGGTCATTTGTTTCAGCAGCATAGTAGTCATCGCCATCAAATAGGGGCCAAAAAGGTAGGACTCTAGTGAAATTGAGCTTCTTCCAATGTTTTTGGTGGCATTCAGCAAAAAAATTCGAGCGAGGGGGACCGAGTAAGCATTGCGATGAAAACATCGTCACAAAATAATATGATGCGACGCTTCCAGGACCTTGTGCCTTTTTCAGCGTGCACACTGTCGTTAAGCTCTGTAAGGGAGAGGAGACAAAGCCCATGTAGTCACCGCTCCGTGAGAGAACATTTTGCGCGTTAGCTTCTGGACTTGGGGCTATGCGTGCACTGGTAGAAGCAAGTGCACACAGTCTACAAAACTTCCCTCCGTATCTGAAGAAACACGTTCTTTAATCGAATGCAGGAACACCCCGGCGATTGCAAGATGTGTTTCCCTCATGTTACTCGCATTTTTCTGTTCTTCATATCAAGTGTTGGACAGTCGGCAGTCGACCTAAGATAGACAGTGTCAAAGCAGAAACGCAGTTGGCAAGGCAGCACCTTGCAGCTGATGTCGCCGAAGCGCTATGGTCGAAAATGCCGCCATATTTGTACGTGCGTTTTCGTACCACGGGATCCGGTGTTACGGGTAGAATCTTCGCAGAGTTATTATAGGGCAGACAGCGAACATCTGACTGAAGTGCAAATCCCAATGGCTCAAAAAAATATGACGCAGTGTTCGACGCATTGAACAACAAAACGGTTTGCTTTCAGCAGGATTAATGCATTTATGATGTTATTGTCATTGAAGCTGAATCCAACATACACAAGGGCTCCGCCCGTAGCCAAAATTTGGGGGATGACAAGGTTTTTAAAACGCTGCATTACGTGTGACGCTATAGGCCAGGGGTGTAGATTACTATTCAGTTATACGAGCGGGTCTAACTCCTCTGCCGAAATCTCCAAGAGAAGTGAGCTGAATCCGGAGTAAGCATATCTGTGTGTATTTCTGGAAAAGTTTAGTCATTTTCTCTGCGCCGCTGCCTCCCCACAACTGATCCCACACAGCTTCACCCCTGCTGTGCGCACACTCACGTCCCACATCGCTGGTCTTAACCAATCAAAACGCTTTATTCGAGCTCGGCTCCTTGAGGCTGATTAGTTCCTGGGGGCGCGATCTTTGCCCTTGCCCACCACGCATCTTCCCCGCCCTCGGACTACCCGCCCCTCTTTTCATCCCTGTCCTCAAGGAAACTAATCCCTTTCGCAGGCAGCAAATGTCAGCGTGTTGGTGATCCCAAAATAGCTGAGCTAATGGGGCCAGACGCCTTTGGCAGCTCATACCAATGGGTGCGATCTATATGTTGGAAGCCCTGCCTTTGATGAGAGTTGAGCAGTTCCACGGTTGTCATCCCCGCACGCTGATTTACACACGACATTGCTGAAGCATTGGCATTGAGCGCGGCCTGCCCGGTAAACAACGAAATCGGCGAATTTCCCCTGACCCTGCGCTGTTGACAATGGTGACCAAATATTACGACAACGCAAATATTTGAGATGCGTATTCGTCACAGAGCTTCAGCAGCTGCCAGTTTACGTGGAACACAACCTAACGTGGACCAATCTGTGGTAATATTCTGTCTCAGTGCCTCCGTTCTAACTCGGACCAGCTACCAGCTGCTCAAAGCGAAATGTGTCATTATTTTAGCGCATGGCATGGTTTACCCATGCCTTCCTAAAGTCTTATTTGCAGCAGTCGAGAAAAATGTATATATCTAATTGTGTTAATGGCCTCAATACATGAACACCTTTAGTTTATAACAGCATGTTTTATATGCGTGCGCGTATGGAAAACAAAACTTCAGTCGCACACGTTTTCTTTTGCGTGGTTTTCACCACCATGTGTATTTCTAAGTGGTTTGTGGCAAATAATCACAAAAATGACGTGCAAAAAGTATATAGCCAGCGTAAGCGATGATACTTTATTTGAAAATGACCTCTCGTCGCCTAAGGTCATTCAACATCATTACTCATTTTTTAAGTTACCGGCTTTACAACATGCATATGCGTCACAGATATGGTGGTTTCAATGTGACTTGTGGCTTTACTGTGGACAGTATGGAATGCCGGTAACAATGCTGCGTACCACCACAATGACAAAGTTTTATAGCATAATGTTACAGCACAGCGAGCCGAAGCACTGAGTGTAAAAGTAGCAATGGTTTTATCTCTTCCTCTACGTCCGTGACGGGATGAAGCACTTGCGCAAATGTGTCACAGCAAGCGAAAATGCATTTGGATAGGAGTGTAAGCGTGTCAAATTCCCCAATATTTAAAAACATTATTCCACCATGCCTATCAGATGTGCCATCAGTCCTGAACGCCGAACCCCAACCCGGATACTCTACCCAATGCTCCAACATGATTTCGCCATTGGAGCAGGTAACGTCACGCACACAGTGGCATGGCTGGAGCAATTTAAAGGACTGGCCCGTTGAGTGAAGTAATATTGTGTGTGCAGACAACTAAGCTGCATGCCGCGCCAAACACATTCAAGCACCGCTTAAAACCACTGCAGATTCTGCACGAAACCAGTTCAGCTGAGGAGATGCCACAGAAATTTGTCATTTGTCTACGCTGGTTCAACACCAAACCTTTGCAGTCGAACTTTTGTTCTAAACTGGGTGAACATTCCTAGCCCGGCTTGAAGCTACCTCGACCACCATCGGTATTCAGGCGTCCCATTCAGCATCTTCACTTGCATTGCGGGACATGCCTACATGCTGGCTGGGGGGCCGTTGTAACTGCTTCAGTCACAAGGAGATCTAAGTCATAGACGTGAAGCCAGTCCAGACGTGAGCGCAAGGGACGCAGCTGTCCTCTTGCTTCGCTGCTTTTTAGGCGCGAATATTCGTCGGCAAGGTTAATGATACATGCTCTTAAGTCGGGGCGGAGTTTTCACCACGTCACCCATTCTTCAACTCCGTTGATGGCAGTTCATACTTTTAGTGTTTAAGTAGGGTCAGTGAAAACTAGCTTAGTGCCAGTCGACAGGGTTGGGATATTTCTATGTGACCGCCCAGCTTTCAGGCTGGTTTTTTCATCTATTGAAGAGCCTGTGCGAGCACCGGGCAAGTGCCTTTAGTAAGTTTGTTGGCGTAGGTTTCTACAGCTAGTTTTACAATAAGCGTTGCTTTTTACAATTAATATTGGTCCAAGCGTAGAAATTATCAGCGGCGCAAAAGTCCTTTGCTGAAATAATATCTTCTATTTTCCTCATTGGCCTTTCTTTCGCGCTTTCTGCATTGCTCTCTGCCCTGCCCTGCCATCTCGTTTATATTTGCTCGGTTTCGTTATCATCTGTTAGTAGTTTGTGCCTTATATTGCGGTATGTCCGCAAAGTTTTAGTATCGACATGGACCAAATGGAGGGCATCGTGCATCAGCAACGCGGCGGCAGTTTGTGACGTGATTTTAAGGCATGGTGAAACGAATCAAACTGTAGAAGTATTTTGTTAGTGTATCATTTAGGGATATGACATGTAGGGATTGAAATACTGTCCTTGATAGCAAAAAAAAATCACTTCATTCTAGAAATCACAAATTTGGAACTATTTTTGGTAAGCCCTGAACCCAGCTTCGGCTGCTTAGTATGAGGTGGCGCAAAATATCCATGGGTGACATGGAAATAATTTTCGCCCCTGGAGTTTGTCATGGGATAGAAAGATGCCACACTTGACAAAACATGAAATGACATGCGAGGCCACGCGTAAACGTGCCCAATATTTTAAGTCTGAAGCAATGACATAAACATATTGTTCGAAAGCAAGTAAAACGCTCAAGACTGCACGAAATGGGTTAGAGATAAGCTAAAAAAGCGAACTACTGAACTTTAGCTAGTGAACACATTTCATTGTTTCAACACAGTCGGTGACATTGCCTTCAACTGTCGCAGAGCTATTTGGGTTAATAATATATCACGGTATTCGGTGCAAGCTGACCCAGAGTCGGTCGGCATTATGGCAATGTCCTGAAAGGCTGCAATGATTAGCAAGATAACACAAACTTACATAACTGGCATGGAGCACCAACTACACAGCGCTTTTTGAACTTTTTGTTGCCGCCTTTCGAGAAGTGGCTTGTCTTTGACATTCAAGCAAACGTTCAGTTTAAATTAGGGTGTTTGAAAGATGTACTGATGTAAGAGGACTCCAAGACTAACGCTGATCTTAACAAACTCAGCCGCATAGCGTTATTGTAACTGAAGGGTTTGCTTCTTAAAGGCGTTGGTACACAGATACTGTTCGCAACGATCTCACTCAAATCACTGCAGTGCCGTGTTTTGCGACACAGCCGAGGTTACATTCCATATGGCGAGCCGGAGCGTGCCTAGTTGCTTCGGGGCAACTGACTGCAACGCATCCGACGACGTAAGTGCACCCAGTGCCACAACGTCAATAACAAAATGTTTCCCATGTAAAAGGTGTAAAATTACTTACAATCGCTCCCGCAGCTCCCTGGCACGCTCTTCCGCTCACTTTCGCATTCGTTTCGCACGTCGTGTCACTGCAAAGGCGCTTCGCGGCGTGGAAATGATTATGCTAATTGAGTTAGTTACAGGTGATTACGCCTTTCCACTACACGGCGTGGACAAGAACCATTAAGCGCGCTCAACAATGCCTCTCGGCCAGCTGTCTGTGGAACGGCGGCCGTGGAACTGCCCGTCCATACTGTTTTTACCCGGCACCGCTCCGGCTCGGACGCCGACCAATGGCCGCGCGGCAGGCGCGGCCGCCCACCAATCAGGACCCAGTGTGCTGTGCGCTTTGCTCAGCCCCCGCGAACCACGGCGGGCGCGCCGGTTTTGATACACGAGAGCCAATTTGCATGTGTGGCACCAGCACCCGGGTGACGATAAGAGGTAGATGCAATTAAATGAGGCGGGCATCGAGTACAAAGACAGCGCGATGTCTGCTTTGTGGTATTTTGCATGACACGCGCAGAAGCGTACGCGGGCGTCGACGCGAAGGTGGGGGATAAGGAGGACTCAGCCCAGTTGACGCGAAGGTAGAGGAGAGGGAGGACCCAGTCCAGTTGATGGGGAGGTAGGGAAGAGGGAGGACTCAGCCCATTCGACGGGGAGGAAAGGAAGAGGGGGAACTCAGCCCAGTTGATGCAAAGGTGGGGAGAGGGAGGACACAGCCCAGTTGACGGGGAGGAAAGGAAGGGGGGGGGGGACTCAGCCCAGTTGACGCAAAGGTGGGGGGAGGGAGGACTCAGCCCAGTTGATGCAATGGTGGGGAGAGGGAGGCACAGCCCAGTTCATGTCAAGGTAGGGGAGAGGGAGGGTTCAGCCCAGTCAGACGAGGCGGTTTCTCTGAGAAGATGGGAATGCCGCCGTTATCAGCTGTTTCCCTCAACAAAATGCAAAAGGGTAAATGGCTAAAGTTTCCTCGGAGAAGGGGATGGCGGATGCCCTGTCTCGTCCCCAGCGCATGGATCCGGCCATCGGCATCGGCGACACAGAACTGGCTCACAGGCTTCCCCAACTTAGTGGAGCCGCTTCGAAGATGATGGCTCAGTTTTAAGTCTTCTCTACGCATATCATACGCCACTTTGATTTTGGTGAGCCGAGACTCAGCGCATTCAGCTCTCGGCTCAAACATTGCTCAACTGGGAAACCGGATTTCGATATTGGCATCATCATAGACCGGCATATGGAAAACATTACAGCAGCCTCACCTGTCTTTGTCATGTCTTTTGTCGCTGCATTGCCGTGATTTGTACCGTAGCCTTCAGCGAGTGTATATATGGGAGCTCAAATATGGGTATTTTCCACGCATTCATCGCATGTACCGCGCGATATGTGGCAGCGAAATAAAGGTCATCTATCGATTCACGGCGAATATTCTGAAAAGTGGAAGCAGACAAGGAGGCTCTTGTCAGTGCCTTTTCACGCAACGCAACGCGTTAATAAGAACCTGGCTATGTTGGAAGGAGTGGCCAGGTACGCTGCACAGTGTACGGCATTGATGGGCCCCGGAATTCGCCCATGAAGGATAACATTGGGTTATATGGGGGGGGGGGGGGTTCCAGGCAAGTGGGCCAGTCGTCACCGCCTAGGGTTTCGGTTTTGCATTTGGGATAGGTTTTTGGTTCGGAATTCTATTTTGATGCCTTGGGGACCCGTGTTCTTTATGTTTCAAAAGCCTCAAGGCCTCTAAAATTGCCAGAAAGTCCTTAACTCTTAGGCCCAATGGGCCCCTGGCACTTCCAGCGACACCCATCCCCCCTCCCCTCCCCGCTAGAGGCGTCCCACTACCTTGGTTACGTCGCTGATGTGCAGGGATTAGACTGGTGTAGCTGTCCCTGCCCAAATTCACCAGCCTGACAGGTCGGAAGAAAAGCCGATAGATGGTGGTAAGAGCCAAGGTCCCTGTCGCGAGTGTGAATCTGTGCTGTTTTCTCATCTAAACACCGAGCCTGTTCAACATATGATTTGGTTCTGCGTTGCACGCTTGCCTTTTGGTACATCGATTATCGATTATTGCAATTGTGCATCTTTCTTAAAAGGAGCGTCCCACCTTTTGCTCCTTTCACTCATCGTCACAATAGACACGCACGATTTGATCAGCGCACAATTCGATCTGAGGTCAAGTGCTGCTTTGTGCCTCTTATTGACCAGCTATATGGGTGCGGAGCAAATGTTGAGGAAATATGCATCACGTCAGAAGTATGGAAAGTTCCACCCATACATGCCGGCCAGCCCTTAATAAGGGCGTTGCACATTTGTATGGGATTTGAGCCCGTATGCCGTTTTTGAAGATTGTTCGGCACGGTTCACAGGCATGGCCTAAAACCCTCCTTGTTTCTGAACTTGACGCCATCGAACATGTGCAGATCGTGTCGTGTAGACAATTTTAAGGTCACTCAGACATGAATGACGCCATAGAAGTGTCCCACGAACACTGCCACCTCATTGATCATGCAGTGCTCGAGGTCAGGAAGGAAAGAACCATCCAGTCATTCGTGTCTGGCATACGCCAACACAATTTCTGGTATCAACGGACTTCAGTCGGCCTTCAGTCAACGTACTATGTCCAATGCAAGTTCACAAACACAGATCAGGTTTTGTGCTACATGATGCAGGAATCTCGGCACTGGTACGAGCTTTGACAGAGCAAAGACTGGGAATCTAAAAACGCAATAAAAAGCCATAACCGAGTGGATACATGGAAGTGAACAACGCAAATCACAGGCAACTGTGCAATAGCACCACGAGAAAGGGTCACAGAACAAGAGCACGTGACCACTGTCGGGTTCCGTGAGCAACGCTCCAGCGAGCACCGCCACCTCTCGGCAAAGTTGAAGCACTTCAAGTGAGTCGGCCCGTCCGCTACAGTGGCAATTCTGACACGGCCAGTCTGGCAGTAACTTTGACGTCATACAGATGTTCTATTACGCAATCAAACGATGACGCATTCAGGAACACATTTACTAAATGACAGAATTGTGGTATCTAGAGCAGACTTCAATTTTCGAAAGCAAACTGTTGGTTGCTAGCTTGCAACCGATGGTTGCAAGCTAGCTTATTTGGTAATAGCTCATGCTTGTCTCAGTTTTTTCAATGTGGAGCATTCCCTTTACGGACGGGATCCTGTAAAGATCCTTCAAGAAGTTACAGGGAATGTTACACATTTGGAAACAATGAAGAAAGCATCACATATGATGTATTAATTCCCATGTAACTATTGGTATACTTTTAAGTGCAGAGACTGTTCTAGGCGATACGTTTGTTGTTTTGTTTCTTTATTTTAGTAAATATGCTCCTTAATACATTGTCCTTTCATCACGTAACCGTACCTTACACAACTCCAGTTGAGAGCCAATTGACGGCCGTTGCGTCTGGAAATCGTAGTCACGAACACCAGGTGTGAACGACTCGCCAATTATATTTTTGATCGCCTTGATCGCCGCATAGCCAGGCAGCTGGCAGGATTTGAATGACGTCAAAATGACGTCATAACGTTATTTTGATGTCATTGATGCCTAGGTGACCTTGAAATAGCTTCCCCGAAGTACTCCGCACATTTCTACGAGCGGGTGGTGTGTCATTTTGAACGAGCGTGCCACGTGGCGCACACCCGGAAAAGTTCGGATTTAAAATGGCAATGGACAGACAGTTCACACCATCTGGGTTTTGAAGGTGTCTACCTTGGAGAGCCTACCTCCCACTTACGTCATAACCTACCTACCTCCCACCTCACAGGGTCGCAAACCTCGGTGATGCTGGCGTATTCAGGATAACGACAGGGACGCGGTGACGCCGTTACTGGGCCACTTTTCTCTGGTGTCAACCATGGGTACACAGCATGAACGATGGAGCGGGCTATCAGTTAAGCGTTTCACAAAAGTTTTACTGCGAACTACGTGGGAGTCATCTGCAATATTTGTGAGCCTGATTTACCAATAATTCAAGGACATTTGCCAGCCACTGTTCTAAACAAGGCACAGAAGTTTGCTCCTATGGAGGCATGGTACGTTTGTAGACATTGATCAGCGATAACGGGTGGCGAGGGAGATATCTTCACGCTCCTTCAGGGTGACCACCCGGGACGTTCTGAGAAATAAGTGAATAAGGGAGAGTGGGTGCTTAACTAAAATTGCATGCCGTCCTCAGAACTTTCCCTGATTGTATCTCCCCAGATGAAACATAACTAGATTCAGTGGTCGCTTTAAAAGCTGTTCATGAAGTGAACTTTGCAGGACTGGTGCATTTCTTATACAAAACATTGCTATTAACACCCAAAGAACCATGCTGTCGGTGACTTTTAAACAGAACATAGCTTTGCACGCTATTTTTATTGACCTTGCGTGCCCACTCTGGGTGATTATCTGTCAAACCTCTCAGGTTTGAATTTGCAGAGCTTGTAGGACCATGGGCGTGCTAATCGCCACAGTCGCTAGGGCCGGAGCCCACCGGACCCCATTAACTTTTGGTCAGATCGAATAACCTTGGGGCTGCTTCTTTATAAGAAAAAAAAAACGTCGGAGTGCTCTGGACCGCCAGTAACCGGATCTGTGTGGTGACGTCGCTCGTTGGGACGGAACCCCACTCGTCCGTCGCCCCTTTCCATTCCTCCCTTCGTCGACGTCTAATGGTGTGAGCAGCACTCTCCTCATCTGTCCATCAAGCGACACTACAGCTGACAAAAAGCGCGGTCACGTGGCGAATGCATACATGGCGGCGGCAGTCCCCTCTGCAAGCCGCACATAACCCATTTCTGTCGTTGACCGCGTCAGCTGGGCACGCCATGGCCGGCACGCGGTCAGGTTTGGAACGTGCATGTTCCAAGGAAAGCTGGCAAGAGGTCATACAGGTCTTCTGGGATCTTGCAAAGTCATGCGCTATTTTGTGGAATCCTTGAGTGTTGTTGCACTCTCACCATCAGAGCCAGGTTTTGCCCTATCAAGAATCTGTTGGGTGTAAAAAACATGGTAACTCGCTGACAGCGGTCTGTCACTCTACTGTATGGTCACTGCCAGGGCTGTAGCTTCCTGCTCGTTAGGGGACTCCTGCCCCCCCCCCTCGCTCTCAGACTTTGTGAGGAAAATAAGTCAAGTCCGGGAAGAAACACGTCTTCAGTCTATTGTAAAGGTAGTTTTAGCCAGTTCACTTTGCTTAGCCCTCCTCT